AGGCGTTGCAGCGCAATGCAGCCGCCCCTCGAGATTTTTCTCGCCTGATTCCGGAACCTGTCGTGGTAGTCGTGCAAGTGAACGAGCAACCCGCTCGAGCCCTAATCGACTCCGGGTCGCTGTCAGATTTCATGTCTGCAAGGTTGGCTCATCAATTAGGCATCAATGTCTTTGAGCTGACGAAGCCTTTACCTGTACAGTTGGCTGTCCAAGGGTCTCGCGCAAAGATCAACTTTGGTTGCAGGGCGCGACTCGAGTACCAGCGTATTCGAACCGAGAGGTACTTCGATGTGATAAACCTGTTAAATTACGATCTAATACTCGGAACTCCGTTCATTTTCCAGCACAAAGTTACGCTGGGGCTCAATCCTACCACACTAGTAGTTGGCAGCCCACAGGCTTTGCCGATCGAGGGCCGCCAGGTGCGGACGCTACAGTCACACGCGGCGGACGTGCTGGACGACGTGCTCGAGGCGGCCCGAAAAGATTTGTGTGAGTATGCGGCTCCCATATGCAAGGAAGCTAGTGACTCACCGCTACCTCCTTTGCGGACCATCAATCATCGTATCCCCCTCATAGACCCGGATAAGGTCTATACCTGGCGGCCGTCTAAGTGTCCGGACGCTCACAGAGAGAATTGGAGGGAGAAGCGAGATGCTTACCTCAAATCGGGGCGATGGAAGTACACTAGTGCCCGTAACACGTCTCCAATGCTACTCCTTACCAAGCCTGGTACGGGAGTGAAAGGAATCCCTCCGAAACTGCGAGTAGTGTGCGATCTCCGCGAACGTAATGCCAACACAAAAAAACTGACATCACCGCTTCCGGACATGGAAGGTATTCTGCGACGCGTATCCAGGCATCAGTATAGGAGCCTGATAGACGGTAAAGACGCGTACGAACAGATTCGGGTGGAACCCGAACATGTGGAACGTACAGCGATGACTACACCTGATGGAAACATGGTCAGCCTTGTTTTGCAGCAGGGAGACTGCAACGCTGTCGCAACGTACCAGAGCTTGATGAACTACATCTTCGGCCCATACATTGGGGTGTTTCTTGACGTCTACCTAGATGACATAGTAATCTACTCGAATACCCTGTCCGATCACGTTAAGCACGTCAAAACTGTCGTTGACATTCTGAGACGAGAGCAACTTTACCTGAGTGCTACCAAACTCAAGTTTCTCTGTAAAGAGATGAAGATTCTCGGACGCATTGTGGATGACGAGGGCATCAGGATGGACCCGGACAAGGTAGACTGCGTACTCAACTGGAAAGTGCCGACATCGAAGGAACTACTTCGCGGCTTCCTTGGGTCGGTAGGATATCTGGCAGATGACATTGCTACAGTACGAATTCCTATGGGGATATTGGCTTCAATGACAGGGGCAAACACCTCATTCAAATGGGACTTTACTCACCAGCGCGCGTTTGACGAAATCAAGCGGCTTGTGCACGCTCACCGCGAACACCACCGTGTACCGTTGGACTACTCCAAGGGCGCGGCTCCCATTTGGCTTGTAACAGACGGTTCGCATGGCGGAATTGCTGGTGTGGTATGTCAAGGAGACAACTTCCGGAACGCGCGCGTGGCCGCATTCTTCTCTGCTAAGCTGTCGTCAGCTCAGCAGAACTACCCCGTACACGAAATTGAAATGCTCGCCGGGGTAGAAGCCATGTTACGACACCGAGACATCCTGCTCGGATGCTCGTTTACCTGGGTAACAGACCACAAAGGGTTAGTACATCTGCTCAACCAGCGGAACCTGTCCGGGCGGCAAGCACGCTGGCTGGAGAAGATATCCGAGTGCGATTTTAGGATCGAGTACGTACCAGGAGTGGACAACGTCTTGGCTGACGCGCTATCCAGAATCTACTCAAATGACCAACCGGGCACGGTGCGGGCGCCGTCAGAATACACTCAGCATGACGACGCAGCGAACGTACCTATTACGCTCTCTACCAACGCGGTCTCGGTGCCCCTCCTAGTCGACCTGGAAGGGCGTGCAGCCACCACCCTATCCGACACAAGCCCTAGGCGTTCGGAAAGACTAAAAACCGCCGCTCGAGGCCGCAATGAGGGTATTGCGAGCACGGTCGGGTCGAGGCTGGAGGGTGCGTCGCGGCGAAGCCGAGCGCTTCGACGACCACGTGATCGTGTTCAGAGTTCGCGCTCATCTCCCGACGCGGTGTCGACAGTCGGAAACACTGTCTGGAGGACAAACAAGACGGTGAATACGGGACTAACCGGCGTCGCCCACTCTGAGGAGTCCGCTGGCAACCAGCGGGAGACGCCTGCGCTGCCGAAAAGGCAACGGCCACGCCAACAACAGCGGGAGAAGCTGTCAACGCCAGCGCCTGACACCGGGCGTCCCGAGACCTCCAAGGAGTTCGCTGCTCGCATCAAGCGTGTCGTTCTCCACCCTCCTAGTGCACAACGACAGGAGGGCGCGGGTACACAGCAAGCTACCCCCAACATTCCCAGCACTCAAGGGGCTGTCAAGCCCACCGAGGCTGAACCAGCTAGCGGACCTTCTCCGCCTATGACCGAGCCCAGTACCCCAGCAGAGCATCCTGAACGTTCCGAAGCCCAGCTCCTGGACCACATAGCAAGCTCTCGGGATGGTATCCACCTGGAGGGCGCGCTGCGAGGCAGGTACTCAGAAGACGCGTTTTTCGCGCCGGTTGTCAAGAACCCGCACCAGTACAAGAATTTTCGTATTTCTGACGGCCTAGTCTTCCTCAGGGAGCGAGGACGTGAGCTTCTGTGTGTCCCACACATCATAGTCAACGGGCGCAGTGCTAGGGAGATTGTTATCTCTCATGCCCATTCTTTGTTAGCGCACCTGGGACCTCGAAAGAC